ATAATCTACCTTAACCAAAATCAAAGTAGACTATCACTCACCCACACCAGATGGAAAACTCTACAGACTGTCGGTTCACACCCCATCACATATATCGTCAAATAGAACTGCCCGGTAAACCGTAGGCAGAGAGGGAGAAGATATATATATATACATATAGTCACAAAGAACTGCCTGGTAAACAGGGGCAGAAAGGGACAGAATGACACTAAACGCGGCTATATATATCCACATACATACATACATACATACATACATACATACATACATACATATGGACACATACATATGTATGCAAAAAAAATATTCATATATAGGGTTGAGCCTCCTGATGAGTCGGTGAAACTCCAACAAAACAGTTCGTTACAGCCCCTCGTTCGTTGTAAACTCCTCCCGTTCTGCCTACGGTTTACTGGGAAGCTCTATTTGACGATATGTATAAGGGGACTCGGCAGGCTGTAGAGGGTTCATTCTCACGATGAGTCGCTGAAACTGCGACGGAACAGTCTGTCACAGCCCCTCGTTTGTTGTCCTCTTCTACCTCTCTGGCTACGGTTTAACAGGCTGTTCTCTATTACGATATATACAGTATTATATACATAATACACATAAATAACACATATACATAATACATATATCCGCATATATCCGCATATATCCTTGCAGATATACGTACACACAAAGCACATACATGCATATACATACAGACAAATGTATATACCACCTCCGAACCACGATGTAGAAAACAAACTAAGCATATATCATCACATGAATATGAGAGCGCAAAAGCGAAAAAAAGAAACAAGAATGAATTCGATTTTTTATATCTTCTTCCTTACAACTCCCCCTGTTCAGAACCTCTTGCGTATATATGCATATACATACAGACAAATGTATATACAACTTCCTACCACCATGAAGAATAAAGACCAAGTTCATATCCAACCATGAAAAAAAAGACCAAGTTCACACGTATACCACACAATAAACAACATATGTATCCATATACATACACAAATATATATCCAACCACCTACCACCATGAAGAAAAAAGACTACGTTCACAAAAACTTCCCATGTATACCACACAATAAAAAACATATATATGCATATACATACACATACATATACAACCTCCTATCGCCATGAAGAAAAAGGACTAAAGTAATGAAGAAAAAAGACTAAATTATGTAAACCACACAATAACTATGCTCGTGAAGGGGCAGGTCTCTCACTTCCCTCACCTACGGCTTTGCTCTGGATGCTCATATGCGTGCCAAATCCTAAGGGCACAAACATATGCAGAGGTTTCTTCAACGGATCGCTAAATGTAACATTTGCAAGATACCAAGACATTTTTGCCACATACACATCAAGTAGAACAGCATTCGCCGTACACATCAAGTAGAACAGCATTCGCCGTACACATCAAGTAGAACAGCATTCGCCGTACACATCAAGTAGAACAGCATTCGCCGTACACAGCAAGTAGAGCAGCATTCGCCGTAGAGGGAAGGTGGAACCAAGACATTTTTGCCACATACACATCAAGTAGAACGGCATTCGCCGTAGAGGGAAGGTGGAGACGGAGGGGAGAGGGAGGGTAGAGGGAGGGGAGAGGGAGGGAAGAGGGGAGGGGAAAAGGGAAGGGAGAGGGAGGGGGGATAGAGGAACGAGGTAAGGAAAAAGCAGGAGGCACAAACAAAGAAACAAGAAGAAAAGTACAAGAGGAGCAAAATCAAACTGAGAGAACTTCGAGATTCTCAATCCTTATCATTAAGAAGTGGATGCGTTCAACAGCATTCGGCCTCGCATTGTGGTGGTCCTGGGAGAAGCCCATTTTCGACCCAAAATGAATCATTAATAATATTTTAATATCATTAAAAAAAGAAAAAGAAAAAAAGTCATCGACCACCGTTTTCGAGGGACGAATCAGTGTATAAGTTGATCAAATATCAATAATATAAAAATCAATAAAAGAAGTATAATACGATTAAATATACACGCATGACAATATCGCGAATTCGATCGAACACATAAATAAGCAGCCCTGCCCAATAAAAGAACGTTGAATTCCTTTGTTTCCCCCTACTAAATTACTTACAATCGTACCTAAATGATTTGCTTAAAATTTCAAATTCAGAAAAGGAAAATGTACATTTGTTATCGCTCAATTGAGCGATTTTTGTTAAAATTCTGTGTGAAATTGTACCCAAAAAAAAAAGCACAAAATCAAGCACCTTTCAGATTTTGTCGAATTGATCGACCCGCTGCGAAACCACCTCTACTTTCCCAAATAGGAAACATGCCGATGGAGAACGCCCCATCGGTCTTTACCGCCAAATGCAGCTATCATACTGTGCGGTGGTAGAGACCTTCGCTTGTCGAAGACACGTAGAGAAAAAGGGGGGGGAAAAAACAAGGGGAAAAAAAAACAAGGGGAAAAAAAAAGGAACAGGGACAGCAAGGCAGAAAGGAGACAAAGGGCAAAACAACTAGAGACTAAAAAAGAGCACAGTGGAAAAAAAAAAAAAAAAACTTTAAAACAGACTGGAGACTAAAAAAGAGCACAATGGAAAAGGGAAAAAAAACACCTTTAAAAACAGACGAGAGACTAAAAAAGAGCACAATGGAAAAGGGGAAAAAAAAACACCTTTAAAACAGACTATTGGCGGAAAGCAACATCGAGGCCATCGGCCTTTCAAAAAAGCAAAGAAAAAAAGAAGAAGGCATATCTCAGTTTAGGGCGAAAGGCAGAAACGAGAGAGAGATCAACAGCGAGGACGCGCAGGAGTCGTTATTTTTCCTCTTTACGAGAAAAATAATAATGATCATTCAAAACGATAAAAAGAGGAAATAAACGCAAATATAGTAATAAGCAGATACCTGGCGGTCTGTTAGAGACGAATAATACACACACACTCGAATGCAGAAAAATCGCAAAGGACCCCCCCCAAAAAAAGCTAGGGCGTCACACTCCTGTGCACGTAAACGAAGAACTTGAGGAAAGAAAAAAAAAAAAAAAAGAGGCGAAGGATGCTGCACGGCGGAGGACAAAGGCAAGGCGATGAAACCGACGAGGAAGGGAACTTACTTTTTTCCAGAGTGAAGTCGATCGCAATTGCGGTCAGATACAGTCAACAAATTCCTAGTGCCAAAAACGCTCTCTCTACGTCAGTCTCCAGAAAAAATCAGGACAAATAGCAATCAATCAGGAAACGTGAGTCGCAGAGAGGGTTAAAAAAAAACGGCGAAAAAAAAAAAGAAAGAGAAAAAGGAGAGCGCAAAGAACGCGAACGGTTGGCTCCTGCAAAATATCGGCAGCGGCAGAGAAGCTGACGGTTGGCTCCTGCAATCAAATGAATGAATTCGATCGCAATTCCGGTCAGATACACTCAAGAAATTCCTACTGCCAAAACGCTCTGAATCAGATTGATTGATCGACTCTATGATTGATTCATTGATTGATCGACTCCTTGATTGGTTCACTGATTGATTGATTGATTGATTCCATAATTATTGGATCATTGATTCGTTGCATATATCCATCCTTTCAGTGATTGATTAATGAATCACAATGTTAAAATGGACTTTTTTACACATCACCTCCAAACCGCTAAATCGACAATTAATCAAAGGACATATGATTGGCAACGAATGCTACATGATCAGAATCAGCAGATATTAATTAGTTGCTTTCGTAGTCCCAATCTAGGAGTGAGCGAGTTGAGTGAGAGCCGTCTTCAGCCGAATAAAACGCCCGGTCATTATAGCTGTATCTGGACTGAAAATTGCACAAAATACAGCTATAATGACGGGCATTCTATTTCGGGGGAGGACGGTAGAAGAGGAGACTCCAGCAAGAAATTCCTGAACCAACAATTATTTGAGTGCGAGTGCGAATCGGTATAAAGAAAATGGAAAAGGACAGTAAAAAAAAAAAAAAAAAAAAAAAAAAAAAAAAAAGGGAGGAAAAAAAAAAAAAAAAACGAAACATCGAAGGACTAACTGAACGGTAAAAGAATTGATTTGTTGCATCGATAATTCATTTCGTGGACAGATTAATTAAATGATTAATCAAATTTTAATCACCGACAAACTGAGAGCTTTTCCATCATCTAGAAACTGCCTCAACGACCACGACACTACAAGACGAATCGAGGGACAGAAAAAAAAAAAAAAAAAAAATGGAAATAAACGGAGAAAAAACAAATGGAACATCGGAGGGCTGAACTGAACGGCTGAATAATTGACTCGTTGCATCAACAATTAATTTCGCTGACTGATTAATTAATTGATTAATCAAATATTAATCACCGACAAACTGAGAGCTTTTCCATTATCTAGAAGCTGCATCAGCGACCACAACACTACAAGACGAATCGAGAGAAGAGAAAGGCGAATGACCGCGGGAAATTGAAAAAAAAAAAAAGAGATCAACGGAGAAAAAGGGAGGGCAAAATGAAAAAGGGCACGGCGGAGGAAGGGTGCGCGGAAGAACCGGCAAGGATTTACCCGACAGAGAAGAGAGAAAGGGAGGAGGGCAAAATGGAAAATGGCTGGAAGATCCAGTGACAGAGGTGAAGAAGAGCGGAAACGAAAAGGACAGGAAGAGTGGAAAAGCGACGAGAGTCTGCGAAGGAAAAAAGGACAAAAGGGGACATGAATAAAGAGCTGGGGTGGGGTAAGGGAGGGAGAGAAGAGACGAAGCATAAGACATACGACAAGACAAGACACGAGAAAAAGAAAAGAGGGAGGAAAAAAAGAACAGTGAACGAGAAAAGCAGAGGGGAAAACGAATGACAATCATACAGCGGAGGGGGATATTCCGCGGGAAATATAAAAATTCCGCGGGAAATATAAAAAATGGCGGGAACTCGCCAGGGAAAAATAACACAACGGCCGGATTAAACCCGGAAGCATACACAATGGCGGGAATTAGCAAGCGGAAAGCAAAGGAGAAAGTCGACTACCGGTCGCTAGCAGCTTCCGTCTCACAAGGATCAGCCTACTACCGGTAGCTAGCAGCTTTTCCCGTCTCACAAGAGCCAATTAAACTACACGAAGAGAAGAACAGTGTGCCTCGTGCCGTGAAATTCAGGCAACACTGCTTTTCCTCAACTGAAGGAACCAACTAGACGCGCGCCACCGCTGACAAAACGAGGAAGAAAGGGAGAGCGAGGGGAAGGGGGGAGAGAGGGGACAGGAGGCAGGGAGGGGGAGAGAGGGGAGAGGGAGCGAGAGAGAGGGAGGCAGTAGGCAGGAAGGGAGATACGGCGAAAGAAACTTGGATTAACATTTTCCCAAAACCCAGAACACGTTTACTAAAAGACAACAAAAACGAAAAACACAACAGTTATTACAGGACTTTTAACAGTATAGCTCACACAAAAGTGGATACCAGTTCTGTATGGGACCGGAAAGAGACAAGATTGCATATATGCATGATAAGGATGGCTTGTGTTCCGTGGGAGGGAGAAGAAGGGGAAGAAAGGGGAAGGACCTCCGTCAATTGCCATAGGAGAATGAGACGGAGGACACAGAGAGAGAGAGGGAAGGAGAGGGAGGGAGAGGGAGGGGGAGAGGGAGACAGCACAACGCACCTTGTAATGATTGCGATGCCGCGTCTCTAGAAGCTTCTGAACCTGCCACATCGGATTTCTGTACATGACATCCATCATGTGCTCGGCTGGATATCCCATGGCGATGATCCTCTCGCTGATATAACTGAGGTCCAGGTCGAAGCCATTCGCAATGAAGCGTTTCCGTTTTTTACTCACCCACTTGCGCAGATACACAGTGGGGAGCATACTCGCGGTAGAGATTTTCGACCCCGTTGGGACTGACGTGGTGAGGGAAGACAAAGAGCGGAAATTGCTGCAGAGCGACCGCCAAATCAGTCGGGCTCCCAGATGGCCCAGCGACCTCAGATGAGCGGAATTCACGGCAAGAAAACCATAGTTGACAGCAAATCGGAGAACCCAACCTAAGCTCCCGTTAGAGGGGGCAAGCCCCACGGAATTCGCCAGCGAAGCCGTTTTGCAAGTCTGAGAGATGCGGAAGGAGAGATTACAGGGGGGAGCGGGACCAGACGGGGTCGCCGTGGCGACAGGCAGGTGGAGAAAGAGAGAGGGAGGAGAAAGGCGCTGGAGAGGGAGAGAGAGGGAAGGCGGAGGAGGAGGAGGAGGAGGAGGAGGAGGAGGAGGAGAAAGAAAAAAGGCAAGTGTGGTCTTGCGGAGAAGGAGGAGGAGGAAGGGGAGGAGGACGAGGAGGAGGCGGGTAGACAGGAGAAGAAAGATGAACGAACTTGGTCAGTGGCTCGCTATACTCGAGAGAAAAAAAAGCAGTGGGTCGTAGAAGAACACATGACGAAGCAAATTGAGAGAGAGGAGGGGGAAGAGGAGGTGGAGGAGGGGAAACTCTGTGTCGAAGAAGAAAAGGCTTATTATATGCTTGCTGGCTGCATGTGCACCACCAACACCTGCTTCTTCTGCTTCTCCTTTTCCAGGAGATCTCTCGAGGCATCAGAGATGCTAACCACAACACCTAACTACTCTTCGCTACCCACCCGTCAAGACCACCTCCCACCCTCTCCTGCTTAGATTCCAATCACTATTTCTCTTCCCAAACCCTTCCCTCTACCTGATTCACCCACCTATCTTCACTCTTGTCCTCCTTCACTCCACTCCTCTCTCTCTCCAATCTCTATTCACAATCTCTCTCTCTCTCTCTCTCTCTCTCTCTCTCTCTCTCTCTCTCTCTCTCTCTCTCTCTCTCTGTCTGTATATGTATGTATGTACGTGTGTTCCTGTCTGTGTTTGAATGAGTGAATATTGTATGTCCAAATCCGTCTGTTTGTCTGTCTGTCTGTCTGTCTGTCTGTATAACTGTCCGTCTGTCTGTCTCTGTCTGTCTGTCTGTCTGTCTGTCGGTCGGTCTTGTTATGCCGGTATGAGCGTTCGAATGTTCGTCCGTACGCTATCGCTGTATTTATTTATGAATGAAAGAATGTTCCGTCGGCGCTAACCAAACCTCAAAGAAAAACGCACAAGAAAAGCAATCCCTACTGTCTAATTAATTACTTGCGAGCGCGTACGGTGCGCAAGAGAAGCAGTGACGACCGGCTGACGGAAAAAAATCTTCCTTGGTCGGTTCGTCTCCCGACAGCGCCAAGCACAGAGGGAGCGAGCGAGCGAGCGAGCGAGCGAGCGAACGAGCGAGCAAGCGAGTGGTGACCGTCCGTCAGCGGCGAGGTAGCGAACGATTGTTTCTTCTTCCGACTACCGAAGTAGCACATTAATCGATGTGTCGAAGATCAAGCCCACGCCATATACAACAGCATCACTCAGTTCTCATACATGCGTCGTCTCTATCCCGTTCCCGTTTCCGATTCTCCCTCTGTATTGTTCTCCCACACGCTGCTCTCTCTCTCTCTCTCTCTATCACTATCTCTCTAACTCTCCCTCTCTCTCCCTGGGGTGTCTCTTTCTGTCTCTCTTTTCTCTTCTGTTCTTCTTCCCCCCCGCTTCGACATCCGAGCCCACCACCCGTCGCCGGGCGACGAGGCAGTTACAATAGGTTCTACGGCTCTACTTCCTGTCTACTGGATCTCGATCCGTCCGCCCGCCCGCCGCTCTCCTCCCGTCGGCCCGCCCGCCCACAGCCTTCTCCGCGTTTCCCGCGGTTCGTGTCTGGAACTGCGCCCCCGCCCTCTCCTGTCCCTACACACCTCCTCCCCCGCCCATCCAATGGTTTTTCGCGCGGTCCACCCGGCGCTCCCGCTTCCTCGTCCGGCCGGCTCCCTCCCCTCGTCCCTTCTCCCTTCTCCCGCGCACCCCTCCCCTCTGCGTTTTACCCCTCCCTCCTCTGTCCGTCCCTCCTCTGTCCTCTGTCCTTCTGTCCGTCCGTCCCTGCTCTCTCATGTCGCTCCCGCCGCTCTACAAACAAAACATGTCGCCCTTTTGCCGCCCTTCGTCTCGTCGCCCCCGGCGGGTCGGCCCGCCCAGAAGCCCGGGGGCAAGGTCCCACTCGAGCAAATTAGGAGATTTGGGCCGTTGATCTTTGCTAGCGACGGTCAGTATCTCTTTAATTCGTGCAAGTGGGACCTAGCCCCCGGGAGCACGGCCGCGACCCCTCCCTGGCGTCCCATCCCGTCCTACACATGCCCCCTCCTATCCCGTCCTACACCTGTCTCTTATACACATCTAGATGTGTATAAGAGACAGCACACACACACACGCTCTGTCTCACCGTACTTTGTTTGTTGTCTAAATCTGCACAAGAATTGTAACTAAACACCTATCCAATCCAGGTTTTAAGC